AGGCAATCGATATATTTTGTCCTCAATTTCTACAATCATTTAGTTCTTGGCAACATTTATCTGATCTTAATATCTTTTTATTGTGTCTAAATTATACTTAACTCTGGGTTAATTAAGTTAACTGAAAATAATGCGTAAATTCAAGATCTGTTCTTTAAGAAAGTCAAATATTAAAGTAAATATTAAATATACTTCGCAAAGCTCACCTGTCAAGCTCAACATTCATTTGGAAAAGAATGGAATCATATTTAAAGCTCATAAAATATTTAAATTTGGCAATTTTCTCATATATTTATGGTCCACAGCAACCGAACTGTATGTAAGCTCCTGTTTAATCAATGCTATCAAAAGGAGGCTACATACTAAAGGCAGACGGCTGTTATACATTTGCTTTGCATCCTTGTTTATAATTGAGACTTCAGGATATGTGTGAAACTTACTCGTATTGCTGAGTTTAATTGAAAGCCAACTGTTGTTCTGGTTGAATTTAACAAGTGTGTTTTACAGAGCGTATGATCCAATATACATGAATAGTTCCAAGCATTTTCAAATAGAAGCATATTAATATTTTAACATGTTTGTTGTCGTTTAGTTAGGTTTGAGGTACTACGAATTTATTAGAATCCAAATCAAAAATAATTTTACTTTCTTTTGGCAAGATATTTATATTTAATTGATGAATAATTAAGCAGCTTTAATTTTGACAATCAAATTTTAATTTTATTTATATCAAATAATATCAAATAAAGTGTCAGCAATTACTGACTGACTTATCCGTATTTATCTTTAATGAAGCATGAGTGAAGTAAGAGTAAAAAATTAAGTTACTTACAATGGTTCCTTAGCCATAATATGCGTAAAAACAATTAAATCCACATTGACATAAAAAGAACAAAACTCTAATTTGATAACAAACTATGCCATCTGGAAATTATAAAGAATCCAGTTCTTGCAACAGATTGCATTGCGTGCGGACACACAAAATTTTAAAGCCAACGCCATAAAAAACCTGAACAACATTTTCAAAACTGAAGTGAAGTGAAGCGGAGATATGTGGGACCGGAGACTTGACTACAATACAAACACCGAAGAAAAAAGTTCGTGATTAATTGAATGCATATTTGCAACAATAATAATTTCGTTAGATTTGAATAACACATCTATGAAAAACACTCTAAAAATATATTGACAACAGAAAGAAATAACAATTTTCTTTTCTGTTTTTAATTTTTTTATATACAAACTAATTTGATTTATTATTTCTATTACAGCTGATAAAATAATAACTTTTTTCATATGATAAATCAATTTTTGAATATAAATATAAATATTGAAATATGTAAATTGTAAATACTTTTTCTTTTACGTCATATAATTAATTCGAGATCATTGTAAACAAAGAATTATATTTAAAACAGCTTAAATTGTACGCAATTCCTCTGTTTTCGTCCATATATCTATATCTCACAATATATAGTATTTTTTGAGACATACAATAGCAAAGTCTTAATTAGGAATAACAGAATCCATAATATTTTTTATTTGATTTCACACAAGCAAACTTTGAATATAACTCAGAATCCAGAAGATCTGTTTGATATGATCTTTTGCGGAAAGAATAATATTTCATAAACAGTAAGGCGGTTTTCCAATTCGGAGACTTAATTACCTAGTTATACTGGCTAAAAGAATGCACTAAATAATAGTCAGCCTATATAAAAATATTAGAGTTGATTCATTTGGGAAGTCTCTCTTCAGCGTAGCCTTTCAGTTTGCATAACTATAACCAAATTTGTTTAATCTGAGAGCCAAATTTGAGCAAACCCCAAGCTAACTCAAAACAGAGAATGAACAAACTTTAAGCAATGAAGCTTACTTTGGTCAAACGCAAATACCACTGATTGTGACAATCAGCGTGACAATCAAATTGGCGAGCGATTGGAAACCGACAGGGGCGGGGCTAGAGATTGAGACTGAGTCGGGGATCTCTGGGAGATAAGCGCTGACAACAGCTGTTGGCATTAGCATCGGGAGCAAAAGGAAGAAACCTGAAAGGGCGATTGGCCTTAAACTTTGTCTATTTGCATGCCAACGAAATGCGACAAAAGAATTTTAAAATTCCGACATGTCAACGACAATGTGGAGGCGCGCTGCAAGGGCGTGGCAATCGAAATGACAAGCTTGTGACACGCACAGACCAACTGTCACACTCGCTATAAATGTGTGAGTGTGTGGGTGTAGGGTGTGGGGTGTGTAGGTGTGTGGGTGTGCGTGTGTGCGGCTAACCCTTGTAATGCCAAAGCGAATTTTATAAAATCGTAAAGGCAAAAAAAGCATTGAGAACGAAGCAAAACAAAGCAAAGTAGAGCAAAGCTAAAGGCACGTCAGGATGATGACTTATTTTTTCCTTCCTTTTTATATAACAAGAATACCTAGCAATTGACTTAACAGGGGATATTCTTTATATATAACATATAATTATATTTACATTTAACATATATATTTCAGCCACATCATTAGTCTTTTAATCCTTGATTTCGTTACCTCGTTTAATATGCTTAATATCAATACTTAAAGTGGACACTTCAAACTAAAGACGACAAATATTTACACTCGAATTAATTTAGTTTAATAATTGACATCTAACTTATATCATAAATCACTTCTATTAATGTGATTAATTTGGAAAGTTAAAGCACTCGCCTGGCAGTCAGAATCTTGACTCTGACTGTAGGGTATCTGGTAGTCGTGCACTACAAGTTACGGCACCCATACTACTTGTTTTTCTTTGGGTTGCTTGAGGCATTAATGCTGAGGATGCTTTTCCCCGCTGCTGCAGCTGCAACATTATCTAAGCGTACAAATTGTTAACACGTACAAATGCGTTCACTCAAACGTAAACGGGGTAATAACCATTTTTCGTAATAATTTTATGTCATAACAAATCTAGGTTACACACGTACGTACGTCCAAACCCGTTTCACTTCTGCTTCTCTTTTTTACCTATGTGCGAACAGCTTTCGCTCCGAGGACCCAGCTGTGTGCCGTCGGCGAATAGCTAGGGATCGATTAAGAGCATAGATGAGTCACACAAACATATCAAGGTCATAAAGCTGCGCTAGCAGTTGGAGATAGGGCTAGTCAGAATCTTATAAAGGCTTATGAGTAGAATGAATATATGTCTCTTAGGAGGTTGCACTTCCAACAATTTTATACAGTTTTATGTGCTAGAGGCTTCTCAAATAGTAAACGTTCAATCAAAAAATATAAATTGAAATATAATTGTGAGTTAATTTATTTTGGTTCAACATAAATGAAACTTAGATCACTATAAGTAACGTGCACACAAATGGATTGACTTTTTTAATAAGCTGCTACAGATCTCAACTACATCTACATATATATTTCACAACCAATGGCAGGGTATTCGAAGTCGACCAAAACAGAGTATTTAATATGTACAACGTCAGTCTGCTGCTCGACAGCAGAAGCGAATTCCTGGAATACAAAACGCGCCGCCTAACTTATGAAATAAACTAAACGTGTCACGTAAGCAAACTTTATGAGCGAAAAAAAAGCTGGTACGAATAACCAGTGCTGCCAAAAATTTCGCCAACTCGCCTAGAATGACAGTTGCACAGCAGAAACATCTCATTGGACACGCACCATGGCCCCAAATCATTTGCACAATTCTGCGCTCACTCCATGTCATGGTGCCCTGGACGAACGCCTTAGCTGCGTTTAACTTTTAGCTTACTGAACGGCTGCAGTGCTGGGGCCTGCCACTGCCACTGCCACTGCCCCACTGAAAGATGAAACGATGGACAGCGGCGGGCAGACGGAGCGCTTTCGGCTCTCTTTCAGAGTGCTTACATCTTGCAGTTTTTGGCTCTGATTACAACTTTCTTTTTCCCATTTAGCACGTCGTAGCTGCCGTTGATGCCAATCCTCATCACTGTCAGCTTATTAACTATGTATGCGGGTTGTATGCCTTTCAGTGCGGATATCGATTCATTTGGTAGATCATCGTCCTGCTCTCGTTATCGTTCTCGTTATTGTCGTTTGAGTTGAGTCGGACACTTGGTGGAATGACCAAAGGCCAGTTCACAATTAAAAATTTCGTAATTGTGAATTAATATTGAAAGCCATTTGATGTGGCCTCTGAACGAAAAAAACAGTATATATATTTATATTGGTTGAATAATATCTCTGTCTTCTTGACTGGCAATGATGGCTTTAGCATGTTTATTTCAGATATGAATATTCTATTTTAAATGCTTTTGTAAGATAAATAAAATTGGACTGTTTGGCAGTAGACTTGCAACTTGAAAATAGAATATTCACAGCAGAGTCCTCTTAAATAAATGAACACAACAATGTTATGAGAGCTACACAATGGACTGGAGATCAGGTGTACTCAAGGTGTCCATTGGGGCATCAATTATATTATTCTAAATGCCGACTACAGCCTGAGGCAATCAGAGACGTTCTCAATTCATTTCTGGTTGCCTTGATGGCTTCTAACTCTCAAGATGTGTGCAACAAGCCTTTTCATTTCTATCAAGGGGAACTCTATTATCAAAATATGTTCATTGGATGTGATATTTACCTAACGACACGCGACTCAGTTTGAACATTTTGCAAGTACTTTGCAAGGGCGAGTGCCCTATGGGTAACCAACAAAATGCTTGGTCATAATTATATTTACAGAGCGCTATACATATTAGCTGAGCAAACAGTTGTGCTGGGTGCAGGATTGATTACTAGCAAGCTGGCTGGAAAGAATGCTTATTCTTCTCGCTCTTCCCCAGGGCGTTGCTTATGCTTAATTCTTCCTCTGCTTTCTCATTAACCGAAAGTGTAAAGCAGTGCTCGTCATGCCAAATTCTGAGGCAACGATTTTGCGAATTAATTTTAATTTCAATTCAGTATCAGGTTTCAAATTGAAAAATTGAATGCCAAATCAAAACTAATAATACTTAAAGTTGTTAATTCGAAAATTTGTAAATGTTAATCCTTATTTCCTTTAAATGATGGCGTCTACATAAAATTCACTGATGAATAACGATCCCGAACCTCCTTAAACTCGTGGTTCTCGTCAATTCCCACAAAATAGGTTGGTAGAATGCCGAGCCCCTTCACGAACGTCTTGCCACGATAATCACACTCTATTCCGAATTTGCGCAATATATAGGCAGTCTCTTGGCAGACATGTATATTTCCAGAAACCCCGGTTGAGTCCATACGTGAGGCCATATTCACTGGGGTGCCCCAAATATCGTAGTGAACCTGTGAGGCGCCAACAACTCCGGCCATTACCTCACCACAGGATATTCCGATGCTCATATTCCCGGCGAACTGGCTTCGATCTGTTATATTTCTATAGACATTACCCCACGTATAAAGCGTTCGCATCAGATCCAATGCAAAAGTAGTTAAAATGAAGACCACTTCTTCATTGGGTATTGGCTCAATATCGCCAATTATGGAGGACGCCAGGAAATTTTGAGCACGCGCCACTTGAAAATACAAAGAATCGCGACGACATTGAAAATAAATTGTTTGCAAAGAACTAAAAAAGCTTACCCTCCCTGATAATGGATGCATTAGTTCTTCTTCGACCGTTAATGCGCCCCATGAAGCGCGGGTCCAAGCCACAGGCTGCCATATACGTACAGCCAACAATTTTGATCTTTTCCACTAAGTAGTCTTCCCTATAAAGGTACAACTAAAAAAGGAAGGGCAATCATTTAATTAGACAGTCACAGTTACAGTTCACTTATATCACTTACGATTTTATCGAACTCCGTTATGATCTCGTTCAGAATGCGCAAGTTGCCCACGTCCATTTTGAAGTCGTGCAGGGTAGCGAACATCACCGCTACCATTTGGTAGTTTTCAGCATAAAGCTGGTGCTTTGCCAGTGACGACAAATAAATATTAACTATGGAAATGAATTATTTGTGAATAAGGTAAGGAGTAACTGTCACAGAATCCTACCAACATGAATAGGTAAAATATTTTGCAGAAGAATAGTTATCGATTTATTGGTATTGACCGCATCATTCTGTTTTTTGAGCAGTTCCAATTTCCAGCTGGAAACAAGTACAAATATAGTTAGTACGTTGGCTGTCGCGGCATTAGGTTACCTACTTAAAGTTGACCTTGTTATTGAACTCCGCCTGTCGTTCCATGAAGTAGAGACAGCCTAAAGTAGTCAGAATCTTGAAGCCGTGCGCGTACACCGGAGGAAAGTAGGGATTGGTTGTACTGCTCCGATTGATTACATAACCGAATTGAATTATCATTACGCACATATACGTAGTCCCTTCCATGACGCTGAGTATCACCTTCACTATCCACGGAATTCGTGTGAATAGTATGCTCAAGCCAATCATAAGGGAAACCATGTTTGTCAGATCCCAGGGATAAAAACAGTCGTATCTATCCATCTCATAATGGTATAGTTTGCTTTCGATAAGTTGAAGTTGGAATTCGTCATAATCACAGCTGTGCTAAATAGTACAAAATTTAAAATTTATATAATTATTCTGAAAATTCAATGGATTTTTGCGATTCAAATTACAAAAATATATTTTGTACCCCATTAACAGCGAAAGCATAATACTCGATCCCAATTGAAGACAACTAAATTACTAAATTAAATCGATAAAGTTAACAGTCTCAGTGATCCACCTCAAAAATATGGAAAGCAATGTATTTCTGTGAATCTACATATGAGCGCAATAGAAACTCAATTCTGAGAGTATGAAATTTAATTTAGCTCTAGAATATCCAATTGGGAACTGATTTATAATTTGTTGTAACTTTAGTCCATGCAAATATTATTGCTTACACAATTCCCTTCAGAAAGGGGTATGAAAATCCGTTTTAAGATCATTTTGATAAGCAGCAGAGTGTAGAGTTCTAAGTCTCTTTGCATTGTACTTACCAGGACCTGAAATATAATCCAAAAGTAACACACAATCATGTTCACGTAAATGCACAATCGAATGAGGAGGCTGCTCTGGATGAACTCGGCTGTTCGAAATATGAGGCAGCTGACTCTTGAAAATATGTGCCGAACATACCCATAACGCCAGTAACATAATTTTTTGTACCACAAGATGAGCACCGGCGTCGTCAGCACCAGCATAACAGTGATATCTATGTCCAGCATGTGCATATTAACGGCAGTCTTATTGTTAATATTAACGACTTGAAGGTACAATAAAAATAGCCCAACGAACCAAGCCAGAAGCACGCTATATCTGAGCATGAAGTCGGTCTGCGTTATATAGTCTAACTCGACTTGGCAATCTCGAAAGTGCAAAAATATCAACCCTATTTCTGGGCGACTAGTAGCACGCTTTGTACTGTGTTTCCCATTCTTCTTTATGCTGTGGGAAATCACTTTCTGAAGCTCAGCGAGCTGATTACTTGAGAATAGACTTACTCAAACGAACCAACCGGCAGCTTCTCAAACTCAATGCGGAGCTCTTCTTGTGCTGTCTTGTGCAAAACGCTGGGCGTTGGAGGACCTTGCATTGGAATAGTATTACTCAAGTCTACTTTTATATCAATTGCCGCAATAAGAAACGTTTTAATATTTTTGCTTTGAAGAAATGGATGTTCACGAGCCATCTCTGGGCCCGGAAGCAGCTCATAAGTCTTATCGCATAACATGGTGCGAGTCCTTTCGCTTATGTGAATGTGGCCTGGCCGTCCAGTAGATTCCAATATGCCTGCAATTATCACATCTGTTCCTAAAAAACCAAACAAAACTATAAGAAATAATGATTTTGTCTATCATACTTGCCCCAAACGTCGTACTGAAGCTTCGCAGCGCCCATAACGCCGGCCATCAGCGAACCAGAATGCACCCCAATTCGCATATCGATATCCAAATTTCGATTTGATCTAATCATATTGAGTATTCATTCACACATTTAGCTGAAAGCATTCTTTAAACTTACCGAACTTCCCGAATGTGAGCAATCATAATGTGGGCAAGCTCTATGCAATATTTGGCATGCTCGGGCTCTGGCATCGTTAAGCCGGCCACACAGTAGTAGCAGTCCCCCAAGAATTTGATACGTTGCACATTGAGGTCATTGGCAGCAAAATCGAACCTGCCATACAGATCATGGAGCAAGGCCACCAGAGAGTGCACAGTGAGTGTTGTCGTCAGGTGCGTGTAATTGACAACATCAGCATATAGGATGGTGACATCGGGATGCAATTCAACGGCCATAACGCCGCCTTTTAAGAACATGGTTTGAAATTGTTCAGGCGTCTTTTCAAACTGTGTGATGCGAGTTCGTATTTCTTTCTGCAATGGCCGTGCCATGTCAGGTGGCAAAATGCCGTAAAGCAATTGCATCTCCTGATTATGTGCCTGTCGCAGCCAAATCTCCTCCATCACAAACTGATGCCGGTCAAGAAACGATGAACGCACAGTAATTTCATTGAGCAGGCGATAGAACAGGCCTATTAAATGGCAGCAAATAAAGTAAAGTAGTTCCACCATCATATATCGGGGTTTTTGCAAATTGAAGAACTCATTATCGGTAATGTGAAAATAAATAATTATAAGGTAGATAAACGCCGCGAAAGACGCCAATATAAATGGAGCTTTGAGGGAAGGTATAGGAAAATACACATATATAACATATAAAACATATGTGTCGTAGAACGGCAGAACAATCCAATCGTCTTTAAAGTCGTGGTACGTAAAAATAATTACATCTGTGGATAAATGACAATGAGGATTGATGAGCAGGCTCTGGATAGCTCGATAGATCGATAGCTCGATACGCACCCGCAATAACTATGACTGCCGCACCAACTGCCGAAGTGACGTAAGCAATCCATTTGTTATTTGATACGAAGGTTTCATAAAAGTTAATGCTCAATGCTAGGACCGTGAATATTGCCGATAACAAATAAATTAAAACATCAATATAAATAAATTCGAGGTGCTGCATACAGAGGGATCATTGAATAATAGTAGTATAATTGATTAAATTTATGCAAACCTCACACGTCACCAACAGCAGGATACATTTAATCAGGTTCACGGCCGAGTGTACGAGAAAAAATACGGCGAGATGATTGATGCATAGACGTCTCGCATACAAATCATACTCCTTTTCTATATTCAACTCCACGCACCTTCTCTAATTTGTGTATTTGCAAAAATAGTTAATATCAATTAGGAACGATCATCTAGTCGGCAGTATCCGAATAGGAAGAATCCTGAAACCATTCTGCGCTGCAACTGCGATTCTCCTTGGGAGAAACTAGCAGCTAGCTTACATTATAAATATATATATGAAGTAAAAAATTAGATGTATTTCTTAGTTCTTCAGTTTCCCAGCACGAGCCTTTCTGCATGCGTGGCGGACAAACAGAAATCACCTGGATCATGAACATGTATATCTTTTTGTATAGCAGATAATTGCATTTCAAGAATATACAATGTATTTCGAATACTCAATGGTTTCAGGAGTAAGTATCTAAACAAGTCATTCACGCTGTATTTAATGTTAAACGTTACCTTCAAATAAGTACGTTCCCAAAGGGCATCCGTCCTGAAATTTAATCTGCAGGGTCCACTGTCATCCGTGTTCATTTTTTCAATAATATGCTTTGCGTTCAATATTCAAGGAGTAGTTGATTTATTATAAAGTTTTAACAATTCTACATAACTTTTTATACTTCTATTATATAGTAGTTACTGTCTAAATTATCAATACACAACCCAAGCTGAAAGCAAGTAAGAGTGCTCCAGTCGGATCAGGCCGACTAGGAGATACGCTGAACCCCGCGAAGAGAAGTTTATGAAGCTGCTAGTGTAGACATTGATTCAATAAAGGAATTCCAAAGCTCTTTCAAAGTAAAGGGTTTTCTAACAGTCTAACAGTCTAACATATAAGTTAACACATAACACTTAATATAAGATATTAATCAACACTAGATAAGTTAAGGAACAGCCCTAACAATTGCAACTCTGCATAAGCCGGTGAGGTTAGGATTTGTAAAATGTGGAATTTAGTCACGTGTTTTAATTTGTGCTAAAAGGACACGCTAAAAATTCGTGTCATATAAGTAGTGAATACAGTGAGAAAAAACAATAAAGTTAACAGTTTTGATTACTCAAAAACAATTAAAAGCATGTTGATTACCCCCATTGAGTTCTTCCAGTAAGTCGCTTAAATGAATATTCACTCCGGCACTTGGCCGTTAAATAACTTGTTTCATTGTCTGAGCCCGAGGCCAGCAATAAGAGGCACAGTCGCCTCTCAACCTAATCTTCAGCCACTACAGGACTGGAAGGATTCTAATTTATACATGCCGGAATATAATCATAATTGGGATCTGACAAGGTCAGTATGCTCTCAATGGTTGAAAAACAGAATGTGTAGAATACTGTTCTTTACTGAATTCGATTTCAGATAGTTCACGATACTTCTATATAGTTGAGAATGTCTTGATCAGAATGAAGAGTTGAACTAATTATAATTTTTTTATCATTTTATTATTGGCACTGCACATGTCATTTCTAATAAGCTTACTCTCAGCCTACTCTCTCTTTACAAGAGTAATGCCGTTCAGGCCTGGTGTAATTAATTACAATCCAATTTGATGACATTTAACGCTTTATCTTGCAACTGACAATGCTGCTGCTCCTCCCATAGGAGGTGGGAAATCTGTCTCACCTGTACAGGGCTTATAAGAAATGAGAACAGAGACCAAATGGGAACATTATACCTGGCTATGAGAAGTAATTGGCACGCCTATGTAGAAGTGAGAAGTTACCAGCACTTAATGCATTTAATACAAGTCCAAGTGTTGCCTTACCGTTAAGTATGGTGGATGAGTACCGTTGCGGAACGGGCGCCCAAGAGCGACAGCAGAGAGAAGCAATTTAAATCTCACTAATTACTTGGGCGACAAATTACGCAGCGAGACAGCAACTTCAACAAACACCCACGCACAGACACACCCACATTCATAGAAGATTGCTAAACTTATAAGGAATGAACAGGTGTCGGCCTGTTCGCTCAAGTAACCTTTACCCGGTGAGTTGCTGTTGAAACTGTCTTCGTATTTAGGAAGAATTAATTGTCATTTAGTTGTTCCTCTTTTTTTTGCCCAGCTCCTACCAAACTTAATTTGACTTTCTGTCCTGTTCTGTTTCTGGCTGTTCGTCTGTCTGTCCGTCAATATTGAAATTTGTTGGACCCTCGACTGATAAAGTGTTAGGATTTTCCCCAGCGTGGCTAATCGGAAATATTGTTATTGGTATGTCTGAAATGCTATTAGTTAAAAAATGATCAAGATAAAAAATATACAATGCATATATCTACGTCCTTCTACCCCTATAAAACAACTTTAGAACATTTCAAACTTTCAAAAAAGATTATTTATAAATAAATAAGTAAAAAAAAATAATAATAAAAAAATAATAAAAAAATAATAATAAAAAAATAATAATAAAAAAGTAATAATACAAAAATAATAATAAAAAAAAATAATAATAAAAAATTAATAATAAAAAAATAATAATAAATAATTACAAACCGGTCTGCGACATATTTTGGGAGCATCACATTGCCAAATTTTAGTCAAGAAAAAGTATTTCTATCTGTGAAATATATTTTATCATTTCTTATAAGCCCTGTATCTTTGATACAGTTTTTGAAGTAAGAATGAGGAAACTCGTTAAAACACGGTAGCAGCTCGAGGAGTTACAGAAACAAGAATGAATTCAACGTCAACTCATTTTGGCCAAGCTAAGCTGTATTCATAACGTCTAAACTATGTTTTTTTTTCATTCCGCGTAGCTTTTGTTGTTGTTCTGCTGACTGTGCATAAATGTCGAAAGTTGTTGTTGGCGCAGGGATTACTGTAGCTAATATTTCTGTTGGCTTGCTGTTTGGCATAGTACAACATTTATTGATGCTTGGTCAGACATAATAGCAGCAATGAGCGGATGCAGCAGAGAGCAATGTTTCAGCTTTCAGGATTTACATTGGGATTAACAAGCAATGACGTCGCCAACACTGCATTTTATAAAAACGCATAATAAGAGCCCTACCACGAGCTAACTGAATACGCCAACTTCAGTCAGATGATCGAGATAAGTATACTACAGCTACCATTGGCAACTTTATTGGCTCCGCTTATACCCTTTTAATGCGAAATGGAAGCCATGCGGGCGTTATAGCCACGCCGTTGCTATTGAGGGGAGTAAAGCAAAGGCTTGGCCATACATTATAATTATTTTTGTACTCGCTTGCAAGCAATTGAAGAACACTCTGCTTGGAAAGAAGCCTAAGCTGGTATTTTAAATATTTTATAGGATTTTATGACTCATAGCTTCCCCTTAACGACTTCTACTCTTGGTAAACCAATCTAACAAATATTTTACTTTAGCTCTTAAGAGATTAAGGAAAGGTCCAAATAGATGATGAAACGGAATATAAAACTTCGTGTATGTAATGCGAAGCTATCAAAATATATGCATATTTTTTATAGTATTAATGATTTAGGCATTTACAGTAGTGTTGAGTAAGTTACCTATTTTTAATGCTTTCCAAGTCCCCTATTGCCCTCTAAACAACTGGGAATAGTCAATGAATTTATAATTACTAAATAATAATAAATATGTGAACACATGATTGAGACAGTCTGCCAACTGTCTGGTTACGCCGCTCTATAAGGGAAACTACCAGAAGTAGTTGAATCACCTGAATCAATACCAAATAGCTTTGGTTACGAATATGAATGTGTGTATAAGGAACATCTGAAATAAAAGTCTGGGTTCAGGGTATTCTCATAGTCACGACGGCCCATGAGAAAGCTCTGACTAGTTTATTTTGGTACACAGCTTTTACGTTGCCTTTAACTGCAGTCAACGTCTGCACTTTCGAGTGCCCCAACGTTCCCAAATTATGCCAAGACCGTCCCGATATTTTGCTCCCAGAAACCCTTCGCCGTCCCTATCCATTTGTCAGCGGCAGTTTTTGGATGTTGGCTGGAATTCGAGTTTGAGTTTGAGTTTGGCTAGCGCCTCAAAAAAAGTTTGCCGCTTGTTTGTTTGGCTGCCGTCGTTTATTATTATTATGTACTTTTCGGTTTCAGTCCTGGTTCGCGTTCTGGGTTTATACGGTCGGCGAGCGCTTGCCGCGCTTTATTTAACTTTGGGCAGTTTGATGGCAGGAAATAGAATTTAATGGATTTTGTAATAACGTTGTCGACGACAACGATGCAACGGCAACAGCAACAGCAATAGCAACAGCCCCAACCACAGCAACGGCAACGGCAAAGGAAATGGCAATAGCAAAAACTTTGCGTTTCTTTGCAGCTTTTTTTTTTTTTTGAAAATTATTTTTATGTCATTTGCTTCAAAAGTCGCGATTCTCATGCTGGGACATTTCGATAAAGTGGATGGACTAATCAAGTTTGCTCTTTAACATTTGTTTTCAGGTACCTCTAAGTCTATAATTGTATTTAAGATTTAAGAAGCGTCAATATATTATATCATACATTATCGACGACGGCAACCTGACAGATACTTGGCTGAAGGAAGTGGCTGCTATGATGACGCGCAATATGTCAATGACAGGAAGCCCCTCGGAAGAAGATTACATAGTCAAATGGCCAACACTTGGAGTGAAATGCAATTGTTCAAATGTTATAAATTCATGTCAAAGCTTGAAGTTTCGAAATTCTCCGATGGGTGGATTGGTGCGTGTGCATGTGTGTCTCCAGTTAATCGTCTCAATTAGACTCGGATTCTTCTTTCTTCACTCCTTGAGGGCGTTGGAAATTCAGGCGTATAAATTGCCATGGACCCACAGCTATTTTCCGGCTTCAATGTCGCCATTGGCATTGTCATTGTCACCTCCCCAGCCGCTGCCACATCTTCCCTCATTCATCAAAGCGTCTGAGAAAGTGCCACCTCCTCCAGCCAGCGCGATGTGCCCGCAGTTCGGCTGCCTTTGATCGTTGGGCATTTCTGCGGCTCATATTTTTTAAAGCTCAGATGCATTGTCATCATCCCCTTAAAAATGATTGCTACTGTTTTTATTACTTCTTTTTTCTATAACGACCTGGGGCTATGGGAGACGACATGAATGAAGTGTGTATGAGCTTGACGTTGATGATTTTTCATTGCTTGAGTTTTAATTTTACACTTGAGTTGAGTTTGGGGCACCACGAAAGCTGTGACAATAATTGTACAGCAACTGGAAACAATTGAATCGCAGCCACAGTAATCCTATTCACCTCCATGCCGAAGAAGACAGACTACTTGTATAGAAACTTAGCCAAAGCAATTGTGACTTAGCTTCATATCCAGATTAAGATTACAACTTTGGTGTCGTGGATGTCGCCTCCAAGGGGTTTCTGTATTTAAATACCCCTTTGCCTTAAAGCTGTGCAGCCGGCGCAACGATAACTTTAAAATGGACAAAACTTATAGCTTCGCTGTGCATGGTCTGACCCCTAGCCCCGCTTTGTCGTTTGGACATTCTCTGGCCCATCCGTGATTTATGGCCACGACGCGCGTTGCTTTGACATCGGCCGACATTTGACAAAAGCTCGTCGAGCAGCATCGCCCACAGCTCGTAGCCAGAAGGGCTGCTCTGGCTACCACCCGCTTGGGTTGGTTGTTTAGCAGGTTGCAGATAATTCATC